GGCCGGGCCGGGCTCGGGGGGACATTCCGAGCGGTGCCGCGTGGCAGGGCGGTGCCGCCATGGCCGGCGCCGACCTTGAGGCCGCGCGTCCCCTCACGCCGCGCTCCCGCCCGCAGCGCCATGGCGGGGAACGGCGAGCGCACCTTCATCGCCATCAAGCCCGACGGCGTGCAGCGCGGGCTGGTCGGGGAGATCATCAAGCGCTTCGAGCAGAAGGGGTTCCGGCTCGTGGCCATGAAGTTCGTACACGTGAGTGCCCGCGCCTCGCCCCCCTGAGCTGCCCGGGGAGGGCTCACCGCACCCGCACCGAGAATCGCCCCTTGCGGCTGCAGTAGAGCTGCCAGCGGATGTGCTGCAGCCCGTGTCGGGCCCTTCTTCCTGCCCCGCACATGGCTTCCACCCTTGCCAAAACCAGCGAATTCTGCTTCACATGTTTAATGCAGCCCGATTGAGAGCCGGAATAGCCTGGGCTGAAAGGTTGTGTTGGGTAACCTCACCCCGAGGTCCCTTATCGCAGAGGCTCACTGCTGTGCAAAGAAATCATATTGACAATTCCCAGCACAGCCACAAAGAACTCCTTTAATATTACAGCAGGAGCTCCCACTGATACACACAATAGCGCTGCAGCATTGTTGTTAACATTGTGAATCTAATCACTAACGCCATAGTCTTATACCTGTAACACCTTTTGTTCAATGACATTCAGAAAATGATATTTAAAGTTACATCTGTCCTTTTAAAGGCCTCTGAAGACCTTCTCAAACAACATTACATTGACCTGAAAGACCGCCCCTTCTTCCCTGGTTTGGTTAAATACATGAACTCTGGACCTATTGTGGCCATGGTAAGTGACTTCATTTTAGTTTAAGATTCCTTTCTTGAATATATATTTTCTTGCTGTATAAATTATTAAGAATATTCAGAGATAGCGCTGCAGAAACATTTTTTTTTCAAACTACCTTGTTCTGATAGTGGCAAAAGAAAAACCTAAAATTAAGACAGTGAAATTACTATATAATAAGACAAGTGCACATATAAAATGGGTATTAAAATGCCTAATGTATAAATGTATAAAGCAAAATTCCTGAAAGTAAATCTTCTGCATATAAAAAATATGTTTTAGGCAAAAAAAGTCAGGCTCTGTGACACAAAAACCCAACTTCTGTGTCATTGATTTTTACAGTCTCCCCAAAATAAGGTGCTGGCTCTAGTAGCATCTCCTGGTGTGATAATGAACTAGGAGAGAACACTCAGCAGGGTGTCCCTGTTCCACCACAACACAAAGGGTTGGGAGTTGGCTTTGTACATTAACTCTGAGGCTTGGTAAAGTATCTCCTTCACCGCAGTAACAATGTTGATAGTCCTTTTTACAATTGCTTCCAGTTCATATGATTTTTTTTTCCCTTGTCACCTTTACAAGCCCAAGAGATAATCTAGGCAAGGTTAATACCTTTAATGGTAGAGCCTTTGTTTCTTTGCAAAGTATGGTAGAGCAAAGCAGAATTGACAGTGTTTTGCATAAGCATGGCTTAACAGAATTTTTATGTTTTTTATTTTAAGGTATGGGAAGGACTCAACGTGGTTAAAACTGGGAGAGTAATGCTGGGGGAAACCAACCCTGCAGACTCCAAGCCCGGCACCATCCGTGGTGATTTCTGCATTCAAGTGGGAAGGTTTGTACTCAGTTAATTGATACTAAAACCTCAATTCCTACTCATTGTTTACCTGCCAGCACAAAAACTATTGGCAGTCTTATTCTGGAAAGCCAGAATTGGTGGTGGAGACCTTAGTCTGATATTTCATTTGCAGGTCACAGCGCATACCTGCTACTTAGGAAAGTGATACAAAGCTGACTTTGCAGTCCAGCTCCTCCCCAAAGCAGCATGTAAGCTCAGGAGGGGCTGTTGCAGAACAGTAGCTCTAGAGTGACCCTGATAGGCATAATTAGCTCGTGGAGGGGTGGGGGTGTTGGAACACTCTCCCTGAAATAACAGCAATTAGTCTCCCCACGCTAGATGCTTCATCCACTTTTTGCAAACAGAACAAAGCTGCTGGAGGTGTATTTTTATAGGGATCAATGTTTGTCTCCTACAGGAACATCATCCACGGCAGTGACTCTGTGGAGAGTGCACAGAAGGAGATCAACCTGTGGTTCAAGCCCGCAGAGCTCATCGACTTCAAGCCCTGTGCACATGACTGGATCTACGAGTGATGGGTGCCCACAGTGCTTTGTGCCTTCCAACACCTCATCTCATTCCAGCTGCTGCCCTGGGAACAACCACGGTTATCTTAGTGCTGAAAGTGACTGTCAAATAAATGGGTGTGAACTAATTCCTTGTGGTGCATTCACTTACAACAGACCCCTGGTCAAATATTCATAAAAGTCATTTTAATCATTCAGGAGCCACCAACATGTGACCCTGGCACAGCTGTTGGACTCAAGCAGCAGCAAATTTGCAGAGGGAGAGCTGAAGGGAGGCTGGAGCTACTTCCAACACAGCTGGGGAAAAAAAGGGATACCACAAAATTTTCCTCCTTACACAAATATATATACTAAATGAAATGAGACTGAGTGCAAAGCTTGCTCTCTTGAAATGATTGTTGAATTCACCTCTTATCAAATCCCTTAGCTTGTGCTCAGGGCCCCACACGATTGTCAGCACACCAACATACTTAAAATACTCATGTTATTACAGATTGTGGGTATTTTTAATAAGGATAAGAGTGTTTTAAGCAAAAAAATCACCAGTCAGAAAAAGATTTTTTACCATTTTTATTTTGTGTAAAAAAGGCAAATTTAGTGAATTATTTTCATCTTGTACACAAAGTTATGATTTTAATGCTTTTCACATCCATGCTGAAAATCTGCAGTCTTGTAAAAACGAAACATTAATTTTTCCAAAAGCATTTTTTCACTGAGTTATGTACATTGCATGAGAAAGCTTTAAATACTCCCTCACTGACCACACAAATTACCAAGAAAAGAAAAGATTAAATTTGTACAGATATTGATCTATATATCAAATACATACAGAAATGGTGTAAAAACCCATTTGTTTATTCTTGATTCCTGCCCCAACATTTTCCCAGGGGCCAAAGCTGATGCCTTTTTTTTGTATAAATGGCTGTGGCTTTTCATTTTAAATATGAAAAAAAATCAAAAGGAAGAAAAATTCAGCTGAAATCACAGTTTTTTAAAATCCCTTCCCAATAAAGGATTGTTACCAAATGTATTAGCACCATTGTACAAAGATCAAGGGAGGGTATTCACATCACAGAAAACAACAATAAAAAACTCAAAACAAACACTGAAACCCGTGTTAGTATCCGTAGAACAAGGAATCAGTAACTGCTGTAGCTTTCCTCAGATGCAGCAAGGAACAGGTTAGAGAGTTCTACTGAAAATAATGTAATAATCAAAGATCAGCAGAAATCTGGAACAAGAAGGACAGCAGCCAAGTCAGGGACAGGGCTTGGGCTGCCTCATGGTCAGAAAAACCTGCTGTGCCAAATGCCAGAATTAGTCCGACCCCATTGAAGGTTCAGGTGTCCAACATTTGCTGCTCCCTCAGGCAGGTACCACAGCTTGAAAGCCATGAGAAACATCCCAGAGCCACGGAAATGCTTTGCAAAGCCAGAGACACCCCTCGGCTTCTCTGGGAATCACATCCCTGGTAGCACCTTGCTCAGGTTCTCCCTGAGCTGCTCCTCAGCAAGTGACTTCCAGCAGCTCCTTCCATGGTTTGCTTAGCACAGACTCAAAGTACTTGACAATTACACAACTGAGGCATATCATGAACCCAGAGACACAAAAGGCGTTTCACCAACTGCTGAAGTCACACGGGTACCTGAGAACATACATCACCTCACAGACTTTAGTGTTTGATGAAT